TATTTTCTCCTGCTTAGTACAATAGCTGCCTCTGACTTACTTTCAGAAATAATTGGAAACAAGTGAAACCTCTAAAGTCACATAAATGTTTTCATTTTAAGAGGATCTTTTCTTAGCTTGGTTGTAAGTCACATTCATACACTTAATCAAATACATAAAGGAAACCAGGCACAGCTGCACCTTTCTAATTTACTTCTGTGAGAGGCAATGAGGGATTAATTGCCTCATTTTCATTTTCTTTGAAGGGTGAAGCGTTTAAGGTAATAACCTTTTGGTCACAGAGCAATGAGTCTGTCTGTCAGCACTTCATTTTTTATTCTTTTCTGCTGACAATTACAAAATATATATGATACTAATCTAAGCAGGTTTAGATTGGACAAACCATTGTGCTCATTGAGTTCCATCACTCTTAAAGGGGCAATAGCTATTATGTGTTTCTCAGACATATATTTAAATACTATACCATAATAAAGTATCTATGTCACCTTTAGCTGTTATTAATTCAATTCAATTCAAATTCAAAAATACTTTATTGATCCCAGAGAGAAATTTGGTAAAATGCTGTTTTTATGTTTAAATAGAAAATAAACTTATCTTCTCATCACTTCCTCTTGTAAACGCCTTGAAATTGGCCTCTGTCTCTTTAAGAACCACCTTCTGCTTCTGTCCCGTCCATTTCAGTGTGGTTGAGGGGCTGGCATGATGCAGTTTACTTGGTATCTGAAAATACATTTCCTCAAAGGTATTTTGAATCTGAAAACAGCTTCACTGAGTGAGAACTAATGTTGAGAGCTCAGCAGACAATTTAAGTTTCACTTTCACTTTCACCTGAGAGCCTGCAGGAGTCATGGGCGGGGTGTGTGGGGAGGGGCGGGGCTCAACCATGAGGACGTTCGGCTTAAAGACACGTCCCAAAGGCGTTTCTGGTCCCCACCTGTCATTTTGCTCCTCAGCATGGCTTCCTAAAAACGCTGCAGGATTTCTCAAACATGCATGAATGAGTCAAAGCAAGGCTTTGGGCATGTTTTTTATGAGAGTATAACATTATAACATGATATAAAACTCAAAAAAGTTGATTTTACATGATGTTGCCCCTTTAAATTACTTATTACAGCAACAAAAACAATATTTTTATTACTAAATAATTTTGCTTTAAAATGTTTGAATAAATGTAATTTTATACTATTTAATAAAATGTACTGGGATTGCTGGCATATTTGAAAACCACCAATAAATATCTGGATTTAGAAATTAATTTTGTAATTCCCCATGTTGCTGCGATTACTGATTCAGACATTTTCTCACCAGTACTTTCTATGTAGTTATAGGCAGATATTTTATAAGCTTTGTTTGGAAAGCAATGAAATAAGAAAACAACTTATCAATATACAGCTCTGGAAAAAACTGGACACCACTGCACATTTTCCCTGTATTTGGTGGAAAGCATCCCACCAGATCTTGATTTCTGAACTCCTCCTGAGTTCAAACTTTAGTGTTGTTGTTTCTAAATGAATATGAACTTGTTTTCAGTGCATTATTTTGAGGTCTGAAAGTGCTGCATCTTTGTCGTGTTTTTGGACCATTTCTGCAAATAAATACTACATTTTTGCTTGGAATTTCCGAGACATATTGTCAGTAGTTCGTAGAATAAAATAACAATGATCATTTTACTCAAACATATACCTGTAAAAAGGAAAGTCATAGAAACTGATCATTTTAAAGTGGTCTCTTAATTTAGTCCAGAGCTGTATACTGCAGCCTTCCTCTTAGCAACATGCTAACAGGTGCTGATGGGGAAGAAAGAAAAATTAAACACAAAACAGAGCTTTTTAAAAACATGTTATCTCTTCGTGTTCTCACAGAAACATTGTGCAGCTGGAGTGTATGAGATGCAGTTTGCATAAACAGTTTTAAGTGTGAACAAGTCAACAATGTTAAGTCGTCCTCACTGAAGAAGGAGCGTAAGACAAATGACAAGACAGGTCACCGGGAAGAAGGATGCTGGATCTGTTGCCCCTGAATGCTCCATCATATTTTTTACTAAACACAGTTGATAAAAAACTCACATAGTAGGAAACAAAAACAAAAAAAATCCAGATTTATAGTGACCGCTGAGGAGAAAATGCATGCTACTTCCAGTTTTCCTTGGCAGAATACCAAGCAGGACACATGCACAGAGGCTCAGCATCCCAGACGGACTAATGATGTAGATGAAATCAGATGAAGGAATCTATATGTATCAGTTAGTCTGTCCATGTCTGCATCGATTACTCAGAAGGCAGCTCAATACTTGTCTCTAGCTTCTTTTTACGCTTGTCTTTTTCCTTCTGTCCACTTTTTCTTTTTCTGTCCCTTCAGTGCGCTGTCAGTCACAGATCAACTGCCAGGACGTATGTATTTGTTTTGTACGAGTCTGCCTTTTTTGTTCAAACGTATTTGTCCACAACATCATTAGCTCTAGCTTTAGAGGATTTTTCTAAGTGTGCTGCAGATCATTCTATAGAGCATTACCCGGCTTACTTATAAGTGGAGTGACATTTAGAAGTCAATTTTAGTTTAGTTTATTTTGGGTTGTTGGAGGTTTTCCTGAGAACGCCGAGCCGGTTTTTCAATTCATCTCAGTCCATCTTAAAGTTCAGCCCAGGAGAAGGTCGTGCCATTTTCATATTGCATAATAGATTTTTAACTTGATTCTATAGGCTCTGCAGTGACAGGTGTTAGCAGGCGATGGACTTCAGACTTACAGCAGAGCTCAGACTCATGCGGTAGTTATCACCTCTGCATCTTGAGTGATACATTGATACCCGGGTTCCCAAAGACCACAACCATTACTTGAGGGAGTGTGTGTGTTCTGATTAAATAAAAAATAGATATTAAAAATAAATAAATCTTCTAAATCTTTGACAAGAAAAATACTTTCGAGTCAATTCGAAGTGTCGGCATCCATCGTCCATTGTTGGTCCTTTAACTTTACTCAGCTATGGAATGACTAAAGTCAAGAGATCCACAAAATTTGCAATATCAAAGACTTGTATCTAAAATATCCTTGCTTAAATTGCAAACTTTAATTTAAATTTAAACCAAAACTCATTGAGTCACATAAAATATCACCATTGAAGGTTCAAATCTTCATCTCTGAAGACTTGTTTTTATTCCTTAGTATTTAAACCAGTCAGAGTTGTGACTTGTTTTATTTATAGCTTGTATTGTATTTAACTGCAGTTCATTTTTAAATATTTTATATCTTCTTTAATTTGCACTTTCCTGGACATGTGTACAACACTGGTCAACATCTGTTGCTTTTAAATAAAAGTTTAATGTGACTTTTCTCTGTGTTCTCCAGTTTCCTCCTACAGTCAAAAAAACATGCATGTGAGAATAATTGGTGAATTTAAATTGCTCGTAGGCACAACGGCTCAGTGGTTAGCATCGACGCCTCACAGCAAGAAGGACCTGGGTTCGATCCCCGGTTCGTCTTTCTGTGTGGAGTTTGCATGTTCTCCTTGTGCTTATGTGGGTTTTCTCCAGGTACTCTGGTTTTCCCCACACTTAAAAATATTGGTTGCCTTCAGGCCCAGGCCTCCCCTGAAAAAGAGATCTGAAATCTCAATGGGTCATCCATGGTTAAATACTGTAATAAATAAAAAGTGTGTGTGTGTGTGTGTGTGTGTGTGTGTGTGTGTGTGT